AAGGAGATAAATCGCTGATCTGTCTCTCGGGGTCACGCCGAGGTCGGGATGCAACGGAGTAATTATGAAATGGAAATGGATTTTCACAATACGGAAAAAAAAAAATACCCCAACTGCAGAGAGGAGCGAGAGAACCGCCGCTGTCCTGACAAATGGAGGATTACCGCAGCCGGCCTACGCCAACATGTACCGCGGTGTGCGGTACGGAGAAAGCTGTGCTGGTGAATGGCGATTAAAGGATTATTAAACCTCAATTCTGACAAGATCTGGGTGTTCATGTTATCACTTACCCTACTCTTAATCTGCTGGCTGTGGTGAAACTACAAATTCCACAATGCCTCTGTATCTGGGAGTCATGCCTGTGGCTGTCAGAGTCCTGCAATGCCTCATGTGACTTGTAGTTCCACAACAGCTTGGAGTGCTGAGGTTGCCCGCCCTAACCCCCGATCATGGCACAACCGCCTCCCTAAGCGGACACCGGAGACAAGCAGTGCATGCTGGGAAATCTAAAGACTGTTCTATAGACCAGATGTGTGTCTCTGCCCCTCCCACTTTAATGCTAGAGACAAGTGTCCATATAGAATCTTATGAGGGTTCAAGGCTGAGGTCACGCTAGAGGTCTATTTTAACAGTCGGCCGCAATTAATACTAATTAGATGAAATATATATTTTGTTTTCGGGGATATAAAGTGGAATGTCCCTTTAAGGTGACGAATCGGAAGGAGGCATTCAGCGGCGCGGTTAATAATTGTGCCCTTAGGCACAACACGTGAGGGCTGAGCCCTGGAAATATCTCTCGGGCTAATGCCAGGGTATGACGCCAGCCCTGCCATTAAGCGTGATCCACGACGCGGTGTCACCGGCGTTAACAAATGGTCATAATTCATTGTAATTAAACAGTCCCTTCTCCTGTACTGACGCCGCCCCCCCCCAGCAGCCTCCTTAACCCCCTCCTGGCCGATAGTCTAACCGAAAATGAAATGTTCACATGACCTGGAGGACACACAGCCTGCGAGGGTGTTGGGTGATGAAGAACTAACTTGCATCATAGCACCTAGAAGCAATAAAATGGTTGCAGATAAGGTGCCATTAAAGTCCCAAAGGGCCAACGAAGGACTCTCCTCTACTGACAGCTTGGTCTATATATATAAGGGAGGGGGGAGGGAGTTAGGCGGGTTTACAGAAGGGAGGGGGAGGGAGTTAGGCGGGGTTACAGAAGGGAGGGAGATGGAGTT